TCTCTGTAGCTTTTCTCAGATCCAAGAAGCTGTCAGAGGATGTTTGTTCCTTGCTTCAGTCTCCAGAGTATCATCTGTATTAACCAGTGAAATACTGCATTTAGAGGTTTGTGGCCTGGGTCAAAACTGGAATATTTTGTAATAATTAAAAAAAAAATAAAAATAAACTGTTACAAAATTAAAAAAAAATTTCACTTAAAAAAAAAAAAACTGGAATACCCCCATGGATATCAGAGACCAGGAAGATTGTGCCAAAAGGGATATGAAGAAGATTCATTCAGTGATCAAGAAGTAAGTGAAGAGAGATGCGTGGAGGCTGTGGCGGCTGGGGGCAGGAGGAGGCTGCCACACAAATCTTGGTGGCAGTGGCAGGGAAGGGAAAGCTGAATGGTGTGCTTGCACATACCCTTGATGGAGGAGAAATATATATAGAAGAGTTGGGTGCTCCCTGTGGACATAGGAACAAGGACAGTGCATTGGGCTGTCTCTCTCCCACACTCCCTAGCACTGGTTACTGACAATGAAAGCCTCATGGATAACAGAGAGAGAAAACAGTGTCAGGTCTGGAACCTCAGGGAGAAGGGCTCTCAGAGGTACCAAAACCAGAGCCTGGCCTCCATCAAGTGCATCAACACAGAAGGTTTGCTGCTCCTTAACCTTTCGCTCCCCTTTGAGCCAGCAACCACAAGATCAAATAGTAAAACAGTGGAAACCCAGAAAACTCAGACATCCAAATCATAAAAACCTGCAACGTCACCTGCTGGAAAGATGGAAGTACTTCAAATCTCTATTAAACAGTCCCACCCCTGAACTGCAAAAGTTCACAGAAAGCACCTGGGTGATGGTGGAGGCAGGAGCTGAGGGTGTAATAGGGCCGGCCCTGTGGATAATGTTTTTAGTGTAGACTTACTCTAGGAAGATGAGAAGCCTGGAAGCATGTTTAATGCAGCTTAATCAGATTGGCATTTGAGAAAGATCACTGCTGACAGGAAATATTGTTTGGGATTGGGGTCAAATCTAAGGTTTAGGAGAGTCGAAAAGAGACCGCTTCAGTAGGGCGGATTATTAGTAGTGTCTTGGACAAAATTGTAGCAGCGGAGAAAGATCAGGAGTGACCTGGTGATTGTTAGAAGGTAGAGGGTGTGGAACCTGATAACCTGGTGTCAGACTAAAGGTCAGCGATTTTTACATTTCTTTTTTAAAAAGTAAAATTTATTTATTTATTTATTTTTACATCATTTTGTACATTTTTTCATCCCTGTAGGTTTCCCATCACCAAGTCACCCTGTGCCATCACCATAGTCCCGTGCACTTCCCTTCCCCCAACCCCCTGTTTTTGATCCCATGCCCCACTCTACCCCCACAAAATGTCTCTGGTATATTATTCATTATTCTTATTATTTTCTCACCTGGTCCATTATACTCCTGCTATGAGTGAAACCATCTGATATTTTTCTTTTTCTTTCTAGTTTATCTCACTAAGCATGATCTAAAAAGTAGAATTTATTTTTTGAGAGCAGTCTTGGTTTAAAAAAAAAAAAAGAGAGGGAACGTGGAAAGCACAGAGTGACTGTGTGTCTCCCCCACACTCTGTTATTGAGCAAGGTCTAAAATTGTCAGTGGGTCAGACCTCTCTCATGAGTCTGGGTCAGGCTACCTGTCACCGCAAATGCAAACAAAGGGGCTTGGGTGCAGCAAAACAAAACAAAACAAAACAAAACAACAAATCTTACCACTCCTGCCACTGCCTGGGCATCAGGGTGCAACCTGCAGCTGCTGAGGTGAGGTGGAGGCCCAACCTAGGGAGCTCATGGTGAAGGCTGCTGGGCCCAGGGGTGACTGCCTTTCTGCAGTCCATCAGCATCACCATCTCTTAAAGGCTTCCAAGTGGCTGCTCAGCTCTGACCCTTCACAGTAGCCCCTGGCTCAGAGCAGCAGGAGAGTTTAAATCCAGGCCCCCGCACAGGAGGTACAGGTCTGACAGATCTGACAGGTCTGACCTGGGCAGTGGGGGATATTGAGGCAGAATTTGGCCCCTAGTTTGTACCACCCCAACACCGCTTTTAATGCTGTGGTGACAGAGGAAACTTGAGGGCCATTGAGCAGCAAGAGAAAAGGGTCAGCAATAGTCGGCATAGAGGAGAACGAGCTAGCAGAGGTTTACGTCAGTCATAATAACACTATTAAAGATGTCACTAAAAGGTATCTTTGCCCACCACTATTCCAAGCTCGTCGAACTGCCACTTCTGGAGTGGCAGATCCACATTCCATAAAGAAAGACAGCCTTAAAAAATGTTTATCGGCCCTCCCTGGTGGCGCAGTGGGTTAAAGCACAGCACTGAGAATCTACAGCTGCTTCCGCATGAGTTCGATTCCCGCCTGCCCCGGAGGTGACCACATGGCGTGGCAGACCTCTCCTGACCCGCCCGCTGCTCCCCTCAGCAGTGTACTTCATTGATCTGCCTGTTCTGCTCCCCACTCTGTCTCTGGTGAGGCCTCTCGCCGCCCCTGAGCCTCTGGCCTGTACCCCAGTTCTGTATGCACAAATAAATAAATCTTTAAAAAAAAAAAATTAAAAAAAAATGTTTATCACTGAATTCTTGTATTTCTCACACATAAATTGCATCTGATCTCAGAGATAACAACCCTGAGTGCAGAGCATGTGTCTCCTTTCATCCAAATATGTTAGGAGATATCGGCACACATATGCACACCTCTGAGACATAATTTGATGTGATTTTTCTGATAGGCACACCTTTCACAAAAGTATATTAACTGATAGCTACTTTGGAGGGTGTGGTGGAGAACAGCTGATAAGAACTTTTTTTGAGTGCTCCAGCTAGCCCTCTTAACTCTGAAAAAGAAAGCTCCTTTATTCACAATTTCTCATCACAGTGTGATTATTTTTTTTTTTTTCAATCAGCAAAAGGGGTAGAAGGCCTACAGTGGAGATCAAACCTTTCAACAGGTTTATTCAGTTATCAAGAAGTCACCTTACAGAGGGAAATGGGTAGGTCCCACACCCCTACTCAAGAAAATTGTATCACTGTAATCTTCCACTGGTTACTGGGGTTGCAGCTTTCTCAGACCAGTGCCTGCTCCCCGGAGTTTATTTTCTGGTATAACCTCTGACATGATCGTGTTAACAGAAAATAAAGTTGTAATGATAGACACTAATAGTTTACTAGATAACTAATAGTTTATTAGATAACTAAAATGAGAATTTGAACCCAGAAAGCAGCTTGTGTATTTTACTTTGTGAGAACTGCTCCAATAAATACAAGTTTGAATTCCATGTATATAGGTAACAACAGCGAGTCACTGATATGAAAAATATATAATTACTTTTTGAGGGACTTATAGTTCTAATTTTTTTTTATTTTATAACAGTTTATTTTTACATCATTTTGTACATTTTTTTTTTAGTTTTAATTTTTTAAAAAAGATTTATTTATGCATACATAACTGGGCTACAGGCCAGAGGTGCAGGGGCAGCGAGAGGCTTCACCAGAGACAAAGTGGGGAGCAGAACAGGCGGGTTGATGTACACTGCTGAGGGGAGCAGCGGGCGGGTCAGGAGAGGTCTGCGGTGCCATGTGGTCTCCTCCGGGGCTGGCGGGAATCGAACTCATGCGGAAGTGGCTTAAGCTTCTCAGTGCTGTGCTTTAACCCGCTGCGCCACCAGGGAGGGCCTAGTTCTAATTTTTTATAAAGATTTTATTTATTTATGCATACAGAAATGGAGTGCAGGCCAGAGGTACAGGGGTGGTGAGAGGATTCACCAGAAACAGAGGGGAGCAGAACAGGCAGACAGAAGAAGTACACTGCTGAGAGGAGCAGCAGGCGAAAGAGAAGAGGTCTGCTGCACTATATGGCTCAGCTCTGGGACAAGGATTGTACTTGCACTGAGGCAGTCACGGTTTGGCTAGCTTCACAGTGCAGCGCTTCAAACCCCTGTGCCAGAAGGGAGGGCCTGTAGTTCTAATTTGTCCTGACATAAAGATAGGCTGATACTAAAGGAAGGCAACATTATTTAATTTTTTTCTTGATAATGAATGCACTGAATAAATGCAAAGACCGGGTACACATTGTTAATTTTTTTTTTGGTCTGAGGAAACTGACTTTCCCTTCAAGCAGCAGATTCCTGTAAACAGGACAGAACTTGTGAAAATGGCTTTCCTCTCTCGCCTGCTAGACCAAGGGTGTGGTCCCTTAGAAAATTTTACAATATGTTGACCTTCAAGTGGTCTAAGGAAGAGGAGGGAACTTCTGGGTAGTCAGTAAAAACCTCTATGAAGTGGTAATCTCGTGTGAAAGCCAAAAACAACAAAAAATCACAAAATCACTCCTTTGATTGCCAAAGGAGTGGAGCCTTGGGAGGTGGTGAAATGGCTGCTGGGGATCTAGTAACTTACAGTTGTAAAATAATTAGGATAAAGAGATCTAACCTACAGCATGGAGACTATAATCAATATTACAATTTTGTAAATGTAAAAGCTGTGAAGATGGTAGATTGCTTGTAATAATTTTCAATGTATATAAACGTGAAATCGTGTTATCTGCCTGAAACTAAAATAACTTGTATATCAATTACACTACAAAACAAACAAATCACTACCCACTTAGGTAATAAACATTATTCCTTCCTTGCAGATCTCTCCCATCCCAAAGACGTGACCTCTGATTGGAGTTTGGGCTTTAAATAAATAGCTAAAGGGTGAAGGAGTAACGAATGATGATCTACCTAGCGCCTGCCAAGGACTTAAAGAACTTGTCTCTCTGGTGTCGGGCTTTTCTTGAAAAGGAGAGAGGGAAAAGAAACGCGAGGTCTGCCAGGGAGCAGTGCTTTTCCAGCCCGCAGGCTACCAACAAGGTTCCCCGCAGTTCCCACCGCCTGGGGCCAGCAGAGTGCCAGCCAGCAGGACCCGCGGGTCCCAGGGCCGGCGGCGGCAGCGCGCGCGAGGGGCGGGGCTACGGAAGCCGAAGCGGGAACGCGGGCGTCGCGACCAGGAAGTGGCCGCCAGCCGGGCGCCGCGGCCGGGGCTTCAGGACCCGCCCCACCCCTCCCCTCCCTCCGCGCTCTCCTCCCTCCGCGCACTTACCTTCCGCGGTAGAGGCGGCCCGGGATCGGAGGCACTCTAGTCGCCGGGCACCGTCTGTTGAGTCTGTGGCGCGAGGGGCTCGCTGCGTCGTGTCGTCGGCACCGCGGGCCGGTGAGACACCAGCCAGCCAGCCCGTCTCGTGGGACGAGGACTTGTCCGTGTCCCCCGGCAGGTCGGGGGGTCCGGGCACCGCCTCGACGGCGGCTCCGCTGGACGCGCGGACCGGGCCGCAGCCTGCACCCCCAGCTGACCGCGTCATGCGACACCTGCCGTACTTCTGCCGCGGCCAGGTTGTGCGGGGTTTCGGCCGCGGCTCCAAGCAGCTGGGCATTCCCACCGGTGAGCGATGTTGGGTGCGGAGCCCTCGGGCCGGTGTCATGTGAGGGGCGGCGGACAGAAGTGATACCCTTTCCGCCCAGTTTCCGCTTTGTGGAAGCGGGGGACCTTTGGTCAGACCAAGGGAGCCTTTTCCTGCTGGATTGCGGCACCTTGGGGAGGGGGAGCATGGGGAGAGGTAGGATGTGAAGGCGAGAAACAGGCGTTTCGAATCTCCTTCACCCGCTTCCCTATTAGAAAACAGATTGTCTTCGTTCTCAAGCCACTTGTTAAGATTGTTCTTAAAATACGTCATTTAGTGTCCAAGTAGATACAGGCAGTTAAATGAGAACCAGGTATTTGGGAGGGGAAGGGTCTTAGTTTTTGCTTTCAGGAATGCATAACAACTTTACAGATGCACTCCAGGGCTGGCTCTAGATCTATTAAAGCAGTTTTTTTGCGCTCGGGGTCTAGTTATATGTATTTCTAAAATACTACTCTTTTCAAGAAATTTGAAAAGAAGAAGGAAGGAAGAAGTGTGGAAAACTCAACTTGTCTTACACCTGTTTTTTTCCCCCCTACCTGAAGAGGTTTTTTTGGAGGAGGGTTTCGTACAGTACCTTGTTCCTGAAGAGGAGGAATAAGCCAGAATTTGGAATGTTACATTGAAAATTGGGGCAGAGTAAGCATCTTGTGAACGTGGTGATTTACTAGCCTTGTATGCAGTTTGGAACACTAAGAATGTTTCTGTTCTTTAGCTAACTTTCCTGAACAGGTAGTAGATAGTCTTCCAGCTGATGTGTCTACTGGCATTTATTATGGTTGGGCCAGCGTTGGAAGGGGAGATGTCCATAAGATGGTGGTGAGCATAGGATGGAACCCATACTACAAGAATACAAAAAAGTCAATGGTAAGTGTTGCATTTTGCTCTATAATTGAAAATGGGATGGTAACTTAGAGTAATATGTGGTATTAAATGCACACGGAATGCATCATCAGTGGTAATTACAACATAGCCCATATACTAACATTTTGTTAACATATTTGAAGGGCTTAAGAGTATTTACAGTTTTGAATGGGTAAGGGAAGAAAAGTAATTTTTCTTCTACCCCTTCAAGTTCTTGACTGTAATAAAAGACAAATTAAGAGGAGAAGAACATAAGTGTAATAATGTGTATACCTCCTGTAGCCTTGGAAAAACTAAGTAGCTTGCCAAAATGACCTAAGCCAGTTTCTTAAATGTTGACCTAAGCCAACATCTTCAGCTGGAGGAAGGAGTACTGTGGGAGGGAGTACTGGGTGAGGAAGGTCAGTTAAGGTTACCAGGAAAGGCTCCATACACAAGTGTTTGGTTCTTATGTAGATTAAACGATTAAGAGCTTTGGTCATTATCTTCTTTCCTGTACTTCCCACTTCCCAATGGGACACACTTACAAATGAAGGTTTTCCACATGCAAATCTACAAAAGGTTATTTCAGTTTGGGACTCTAAATTTTTTTCCCATTCATTTTCTTGTAGATAGCATATAGTTGGACTACGTTTCTTTATCCATTTTGCCAACCTGTCTTTTGACTTTTCCAAAGTTTACATTTTAAGTAACTATTGATAAGGAGAGACTTAACATTGTTTAATATTTCTCTTGATTATTAAGGAGTGAAAGTTATTTGTTGGAGTAGATAAAAGAGTTTATATAAGATTACAAATTTTTCCTCCTTAACTAGGGCCATTCATAGTTAGGAATGAATGGTCTCTCAGATAAGCATAAACAACTTTGTCTTTCCCCCTGTTTGACTGGATTCTTCTTTATGACTGGATTGGTCTCTCAGATAACTGTTGGCAAGTTTGCCTGTCCCTATTCCTTGCAATTTCTCTTCCCTTTGTTTGTCTTGTATTCCAAGGAAAAGGAGGTTAATCAGCTGTTGAAAAAACAAACAGGCACCCACCCATCTCCTGCTCCTGCCCTTTGCATACTCTTGCCCATCTCCCTGCTTTGTGTCCCTTTGTATAAATAAACCCTGCACCCTGCCAAAGAGCAGGACAGTGGTCTTTTGGACATGACTCTGCTGCCCTCCTCATTTGTCAACAAATTAAACCACTTTCCTTTTCCTCAAACTCTGTTTCCTTTTATTGGCTGAGGGAAACTGAGGCTAGTGTTTGATCACACCATTATGGAATAACTCGGGTAGTGTAAGTCCTCCAGTTTGGTTTCCAAGGTTTTTTTTGATAATTTTGGCCTTTCTCATTTTTATATAATTTTGGACCATTAGGGTTTTGATTAGAGTAAGATAATCTGTGGGAGAGTAGCCATCTTTACTTTTTCTCTCAGTAGTGTTTTATGATAACAAGAGTTGAGGTCTTACCTTAGTTTCTTTATTATGCAAATTTTTACTTAAAAGGAAGCATATAGGTCAAAAATATGGTTTCTTTATTGTTTATCTTCTAACTCAACCCTTTCAAATACAGTTGAAGTAAACTGAGCCACAGAGAGATTAAGTATGTCATTAGCTAAGTGGAGTTTTACTAGTGTTTCACTAAAACACTTTGAATTTGACACGGCATATAATTTCAGTCTTCTATAAGTCATTTTAGGCTTAGTAATTTTTTTTTAAAGATTTATTTATACACACAACTGGGATACAAACCAGATGTACAGGGGCGGTGACAGGGTTCACCAGAGACAGAGTGGGGAACAGAACAGGCTGACTGATGAAGTACATTGCTGAGGGGAGCAGTGGGTGGGTCAGGAGAGGTCTGCCAGCGTTGGAAGGGGAGATGTCTATAAGATGGTGGTGAGCATAGGATGGAACCCATACTACAAGAATACAAAAAAGTCAATGGTAAGTGTTGCATTTTGCTCTGTAATTGATAATGGGAGGTAATTTAGAGTAATATGTGGTATTAAATGCACACGGAATGCAACATAGCCCAAATACTAACTTTTTGTTAATATATTTGAAGGGCTTAAGAGTATTTACAGTTTTGAATGGGTAAGGGAAGAAAAGTAATTTTTCTTCTACCCTTTCAAGTTCTTGACTGTAATAAAAGACAAATTAAGAGGAGGAAAACATAAGTGTAATAATGCGTATACCTCCTGTAGTATACGCCATGTGGATCACCTCCATGGCCGGAGATTGAACTTGCGCTGAAGTGGCTGCAGCTCACTTACAGTGCTGCATCCTAACCTGCTGCACCACCAGGAAGGGCCTAGGCTTGTTAGTAATCTAACAAAACCAAACTCTGTACTATAAAGTTAGGAAGTTCTGTGTCCAATAGTCATTTTTCTTATTTTATTTATTTATTTTATTATTTTATTTTTTTAAAAGATTTATTTGTGCATACAGAACGGGGGTACAGGTCAGAGGCTTCACCAGAGACAGAATGGGGAGCAGAACAGGCAGATCGCAGAAGTACACTGCTGAGGGGAGCAGCAGGCGGGTCAGGAGAGGTCTGCCACGCCATGTGGTCACCTCCAGGGCAGGCGGGAATCAAACTCATGCAGAAATGGCTTTAGCTTCTTAGTGCTGTGCTTTAACCCACTGTGCCACCAGGGAGCGTCCCATTTTTCTTATTTTAAATAGTTTAAATAAGAGGGTTTTTGATTTGTTTTTAATGAATTTCATGAAATAAATAAATCCCGTTAAGTTGCACGCATATTTTTACATAGAGGCACTTAGAGAGCTCCTTTTAATGACCCCAAAGATTCATGACTTCCCCCCTAAAAGCAAAAAAGATTATTAGACTATGTGTTCGTAAGGTAGAAAATGAAAATTCACCCTAATCAAAAAGTAGCCTGTCATATATCCTTCCGTTTTTTTGCTCTGAATGATTTTGCAAGTACACATGGTAAACTTAACCATATTAACTAGTAAAGAATATTTAGATTTCAAGTTTCACTTATTTCTTAATTTTACTTATTTATGCATACAAGAACTGGGATGCAGGCCAAAGGTACATGGGGAGGGGAGTGTTGAGAGGATTCACCAAAGACAGACAGGGAAACAGAAGGGGTGGATTGAATGAAATACACTGCTGAGGGAAGCAGTGGATAAGACAAGAAAGGTCTGCTGTGTCACGTGGCTAGGGATTGAACTGCTGCATTGCCTGCTGGTAGCTTCATAGTGCTGATACTTAACACCTTGCACCATTAGGGAGGCCGAAGTTTTGCCTATTTTAAGTAGACATTAAGTATAAGTTGCTCTATTTTCTCTTTAAGTTTTATTCAAAATGACTGGCTGTACTTTTAAGGGATTTGTGATAAATCATTTAAATAATGATTTAGTAATTTATAGAATAACTTTATAGGTTGGGTTTTTTAAAGTCATAATCTTCAAAATATATCTTTAGTATCAAATTAATGTTTCTAAATTCTTTACATTTAATCCTCTCCATTTTCAGTGCCACCTTAACATCTTCTAATCCCCTGCACCATTTTGCTTCAAGTCCTGCTCCCATTTATTAAATTCCCTGAGCAGGAACCTACACTGACTGTTTTATCCAAACTTCAGTCTTCAGCTATATCTCACTCACAGAAATTTCCAAAATTTGTTTGTCACAGAGGCAGATGGATCCTGATTAACTAGCTCTTTCATGGTAACATCTAATACTTGGCTCATTTCCTCACTGCTCAATTTTTTTTTGTCTTTGATTAAGATTCTTAATATCTTTTCTTTTTCTATAAACAGAAAATCAACCCAGATTTGTGGTGACACTTCTGCCTCACTTAGATTTACATGTAAGGTCAGGGTCAGGAACAGGAAAAATGGAAGAACTCAGGAAAAATTGTACTTAGACCTTAATCTCTAAAAATTTAATGAGGATTGCTGTTTTTCAGTTAATGTAAGGAAATATAGTACAGATTTCAGGTATTTTATAATCTGATAGTAAACTTAAAACATTTCTTGACTGTAGGAAATTCACATCATGCACACCTTCAAAGAGAACTTCTATGGAGAAATCCTCAATGTGGCCATCGTAGGTTATCTCAGACCAGAAAAGAACTTTGATTCTTTGGGTAAGTTCATATTTGTTTATGTCAAATATTATGGCAGCTATAATATGCTTCCACTAGTAAAGAATGGTAAGGCAGATGAGATTTAAGCATCTAACATGACAGGTATTATTTTAGTCCTCATAAAAATTAACTTATTTTATACAAAGGAATTTTACCCTTTCAACACATGAGGAAATAGGCAGAGATGGTCAGATATCTCTTAGTGTAGTGTAATAGTTTTAATTCTATTGTAGAGTTTTTTTTTACAAGTATAAATACTAAAGAGAATAGGTAGTGAATATTTGTTTCATCCATTTGGTACTTGGCAGTATTTTTGCTAGTGCCTTTCTCTAAACTTGCAAGATTGGGTATATCTTTTTCAGTTTTTCATTACCTTAACGTGGCATTTTCTCTCCACAGAATCACTTATTTCAGCAATTCAAGGTGATATTGATGAAGCTAAGAAACGACTAGATTTACCAGAACATTTGAAACTCAAAGAAGACAACTTCTTCCAGGTTCCTAAAAGCAAAATAATGAATGGCCACTGAACAATCATTTCTTTGCTCACTGTTTTCTAGTATTTTACTGCCCATAATTTTGCAGTCTCATCTTGGCAATATTTTAAAATCAAACATTTTCCTGTAGCTATGAATTAGTTCAGACAGCACATTGTACTCACTGTGTTTCACCTATTAAATTAAACACTCCGTGCAGCAGGACTGGAGGATTTATTTCAAAAATCAAGATTGTTTTTATGTGCTGTGTTGATTAAAATGAACCACTAGAAACGTCTTAAGTGTCTTAAAATAGAAAGGAAATTGATATCAATGTGGGTAAAAAGGCAAATCACTCTTTTGAAATGAGTGCTGTTGTCATAGTAAATGACAAGCATGTCTGTGCTTGGGCAGCATGTGCTCAACAGAGGAGAATGAAAGGAAATATCCTGAATGGGGGCTGGTAGTTTAGAATATCCAAGCTTTATATTTCTGATATTTTGTACATTGATATTATCACAGACATAAAACCAGTGAAATTTCATTTTAACCAGCCACTTCCTGTACGAGGACTAATCATTTTACTTGATACCATTTTTGTTAATTGCTTCAGTTCTAATTGGTGTAGATTCTCTTTGCCTATCTGCTAAAGCAGTGAAATGAATGTTTCTCATATGTCTTGGTCTCATTTTTGTGTGGTATACATTTCTCTATTTAAGGATATGTAGCACTTTAGACTTGGATTCTTTTTTCCTTTAAACTGACACATTGAAGTTTTTTTCCCCATTTAGAATATCCTACAACTTTACACGTGCAAAAGACTACTTCTATCTCCACCATTCCATCTATTCACTATAACAGCAGTGACTAAGTGCACATCTATATTGCCTTTTTAGGAAAGAAGTCCCCCAAACTTCCATCATTCTGTTTCCTCACAGTTACATGGACATATGGCAATTCTTTTATGTATACCAGTCTCTTGAAGAACATAAGATACTTGTTTTCCCCTGAGGGAAACTACTTAAGAGCCATTTTAGCTATGAAATAGAAAGGTATTTATTTTTAATGTAATCTCATGTTCTTGAGCAAATGTAAACTGTTGTATATGTACAATGTAAATGAATGCTAAAGAGTGGTTGTAGCTTAGAAGGACATAATAAAATTTTAGTTAAATAAACTTTACACTATGCATTTTTCCTTCTACCAGCTTTGATTTTTGCTACTTGGTCTTTTGTATAATTGGCAGAAAGTTGAAATTTTTGTCCATTAGAACATTATGATTACAGAGAGGGTGCCATCTGAAACAGTATACTTCATTATTGCTTTCTTCATTACCATATTAGGTGGATGGTGAAGGAAATGGGGGTAGGAGGATATAGCAGATAATTGTATAGGTAAATCATTTCCCCCTAATTTGCATAAATGGATTAGAGAACTGATTTTAAGAAAAATAAAAAGTATATAGAAATACATCTAAGGCTAAAGTTGGAAAAATGGGGTAGTATGACTAAATTTACTTGGATTGTGTTTTAGGCAAAAATGTTTGAGTCTACATTTTTGTTTAATGTTTTGTATCTAATTTTTTTTTTAAAGATTTATTTACTTATTCATACAGAACTGGGGTACAGGTCAGAGATGCAGAGAGTGAGAAGATTCACCAGGGACAGTGGGGAGCAGAACAGGCAGATCGACGAAGTACACTGCTGAGGGGAGCAGTGGGCGGGTCAGGAGAGGTCTGCCACACCATGTGGTCACCTCCGGAGCAGGCTGGGATCGAACTCATGCGGAAGTGGCTTAAGCTTCTTAGTGCTGTGCTTTACCCCGCTGCGCCACCAGGGAGGGCCTGTAACGTATGTTTTAAGATGTTGCATTAGTGCTGTTTTTAATAAGTCTGAATAGTTTCAGGCCTTGAAATGTTGATTGATGCTGTTTCTTTCCCCTTTGTTAACCTAACTCTTTTGCCTTGTCTTGTAAGTATAGTGCCTGCCAAGCATGGGTAGGTTCTGTATTAATTTGGGAGATGGGTAAGAGTCCTGGAGCCTTCGGTCACTTTTTTCAGGCTTTTAATGCTCTTTCTGCAGCAGTTGTGGGGCAAGCCTGCGGGCTGGCTTCACAGCAGGGTGGGAGGCTGGTAGGCCTCCCAATCCCTGGGGAATCTTTGCTCTCTGACTTTCACTGTGATCCTGCCTCACTGTAGTCACTCATCCTCTCATCGCTGTTCCGCCACTGCCATTCCAACACGGCTTTCTCTGCTGCGCCCATCTCTGTGTGATGCTGCCCTTAAAGCGTCAGCCTCTGGGCTCAGGTGTGTCCACTTACGCATGCCCACACCATACTCCAGGCGTCCACCATCAGGCATGCGTGTTCCACGCCCATGCTCCCAAGCGCCTCTGCATCATGGCTGCAGGTGATCACAGAGGCCAGTTGAGTAAAAGCTTGACCATCTCACTTACCCTACAGTAAGTTTCTAGTTTGTTAATAAGGGGGTTATTGATCCTGAATATGCTCTTAATATATCTGAAACTTAGTATCTGAAACTCAACCCTATTAATTTGATGCAGTAGGTTATTTGGGGTGGGGGTGGGGGAGCGGGTAGAAGAGTCTGGAAACTTAACATTACATACATGAAGAACTCTTAAAGATGACCTACTACAGCATACCAAGAAAGGATGTTCTACTTTTAGGTAGCAAGCAGGGGAGAACATGTACAGGCGGTAGCTATAGGGAGCACCTGGCATGCAGTGATAATTCTACAACCGAAGGATTTGTCTTAAAAGCCTGATTTTATAGTTGGCATATGACAGGCATATTTTGAAAGCATTCACAGGGTATTAGTACTGCCAAATATCCAGTCAAGAGTGGCAGGTCTCCATTCCATTGGAAGTTAACATGAGTAAGAGGAATAACTGTGTAAGTAGGTCTGGATTCCCCTGCATTACCCCTGTTCTGTAACTTCCCTGACTTGTGCTACCAACCCTATGGCAATGACTTGAAAGTCTTTTTCCCTGTCTCTGTAATACAGTAAGTCATCACCTACCTATTTTCTTAGATTCTTGGGAATAGTAATGTTAAGCAAAAAACCCTAAAGCAAGTCCTCAAGTAACATTTCTTCAGCGTTTGCCTGTTTTTTTTTTTTTTTTTCAGTGTTGCCATATGCAGGTACTTAAAACTACTCTTTCAGTACGTACCTCCAGCACTCTCAACTATAGAAATTTAAGATTAGTTTGCAGTCAAGCCTGATCATGTACAAAGTTCTGATCAGGGAGATCAAGTTTACTTGGAAGGAAGGACTTCTGTCCACCTCCTGCCCCAAACCCCGTCACTTCCACTCAGGAAAACCTCCTAGCTTTTCCTATTCCCTTTCTTACCTGAAAAATGGATGTAAATCTGATATAGGAGAATCAATCTGACTTTCAAAGATTGGTAGAACATAAATCTATACTGCAAAAAGGGACTCCATCACAAGCAAGAATTAGCAGGTGCAAATTGTGGGAATAAGTTCTACAAAGACAGCAGATACAGAGGGATTATGATGTATATAAATTTTGACTAGTAAAGAAGTGGAGTATCAAAAGTGATGATAGCAAGGTTCTATAAAAATTGGCAGATCAAAGAATTTTCAAATTATGGTGATGAAAAAATAATTGAATGCCCTCTCTGGTGGCACAGTGGGTTAAAGCACAGCACCATGAAGCTCACCACAACCACTTAAGCACAAGTTTGATCCCCTCCCAGGGAGGTGACCTACATGGTGCAGCAGACTTCTGTGTCACCTACTGCTTCCCACAGCAGTGTTATTTCAGTACATCCACCTGTTCTGTTTCTCACCACTGTCTAGTGAACCTCCTTATCCTGTCCTGCCCGCTGCACCTCTGGCCTGTACCCCAGGTCTGTATGCATAAGTAAATAAATTTTTTTAAAAATTGAAATTAAAAATTCAGCGGATGGGGTATGTGTAGCTTAGACATGATGAGCTGTGAGACCTGAGGCTGTTAGGAACATTTTGCCTGCTGCTCTTTGTGATGTGACCATGATTTGAAATTTGACAATTGGCTACTTTTGGGGTCTTTTCATATCTGGAGTTGGGTCCCTGGCTGTTTTACAGGTAGCTTAATCTTTGGACCTACCCTGTTCCTGATTATGCATTTGGATTAATGATACTTGACAACTGACAGTCTATACTTTGTTTCCTTGACCATAACACAGGCCAATTGAAAGCCAGAATAGTAAACCAAATCACTGTTGTATCTCTGGGGAAATTGCCGACTGTCATTTCAAATCTGAAAAGCCAGTATAGAGACTGCAAGAATTTGATTGGTCTTGGAGAATGGCCATATTGTTACAAACTAGTCAGGTGATGTCTTCAATACAGCTATTGTGAGGGCCACATAAAAGCCTCCACAAATTTCTAAGGTTGGTGTTAAGCACTCGATACCATAACACAATGGAAAAAGAAATCATTAAATTTTAAAAAGTATAAAATGCCACAGTTTGAAAAGCTGTTGGTGAATGATGATATGCAGCATACAGAAATTTGTGGGATGCACCTAATGCTTTCTTTAAGATTAATAGCTTTACATGTTAAATAAGAAAGACAATAATGAAGTTTTGTCCTCAAAAGAAGAGCAAGAGACCAGACAAGAAAGCGTGTATGCTCTGTACTCTATATAAATCTCAAGAACAAGGAAAAGCAAGCCATAATAAAAAAGATCAGAGTGCTTCTTGAGATGGGGAGAATTGGGAAGATTTTAAAGAGTTTTGACTCTTTTAGTCCTTATCTGGGTGATGGTTGCATAGTGTGATCTCTTTGTGAAAATTCATAAAGCTTTATACTTGTGTACAAATAAGAAAAATGTTCCTAGCTCAGCTGTGAGTACCATTTATGGAGTCATCAGAACTATGGCACTGAATTTATACAAGACAAAATATACATTTATCAGAATGCTGAGGAGATAGGAAATGTACAAGGGAGCAATAGAAAGGAAGAGTATCGAGAAGAAATAGTCTGATAGTGGGAAATGAATAGCTTCCTGATTTAAACACTTAATAATATGGGCCTCTCGGCCCTCCCTGGTGGCGCAGCAGGTTAAAGCACAGCACTGAGAATCTGAAGCCACTTCCGCATGAGTTCGATTCCCGCCTGCCGCCTGCCCCGGAGGAGACCACATGGCGAGCCAGACCTCTCCTGGCCCGCCCGCTGCTTCCCTCAGCGGTGTACTTCGTCGATCTGCCTGTTCTTCTCCCCACTCTGTCTCTGGTGAAGCCTCTCACCGCCCCTGAGCCTCTGGCCTGTACCCCAGTTCTGTATGAATAAATAAATAAATCTTTAAAAAAAAAAATAATATGGGCCTCTCACAGATGATTATTGCATAACTAAAGGTTGAAATTGGTTGTTTATGTGCAGGAAGCTGTTTTCATGAAAACAGCTTTTAAAATATTAATTATGATTTAAAGAGTATTCAAAAAGTTGGAGAAATGGCTTCAGATATTGGGCAAACAGAGAAATACTCAATACTGTTATCTAACTTTGAAGGAAAAGATAATCAGCACACACTATCCATCCTGCCCCTCTACCTTTACAAAAAGCAATCCTTAAGTTAGTATGTTCCAGAGTCTTGACAAAACCTTTTCTTTTATCAGAAGAGAGGGGGAAAAAAACACCTTATGACATTCCCCTTTATAACTTGGTTGGCAGGAAGCTCATGAATAATGTCTATCACTGTAACTAATCACCCAGAATCCTGACTTTTCTCCTCCTCTTTCATAGTGTTTTTCTAGGATATATATCTATATTTATAACTATATATAGATATATATGGATATATATCTCTATATATGTATATATATATACATGTATATATATAGTTATATGTAATGTATACAGTATATGTTATATGTTAGATGGTATACATATATTAATTGATGTAACACTGGTTTACAACACTATAATTCCCAAAACCCTGATTTTTAAAATGTTCTCCAAAGAGACATAGGGCTTCGTGGAAATCCCCCTGGTATTGGGCAAGCAAGCAAATCTCTGCTTCTTCCCAATGGGCTTACTTTAAAGGGGCACTCTTAACTATCTTATATCCTTGAGTTCTGCCAAAGACTTCATTTGGTTAAACTTCTCTGTGGCCAAGAAATCCTTGATTTGCACTTAGATTGATTAGCCTACTTCCCTTCTTCCTCCAGGTTGACATTCTCTGTTTTCATGTCAACAATTGATTTCTTCACATAACAGATTTCACAGTGAGCATTTTCCTATAAGCAGGTGGATATAAATTCTGGAAAAGTTACTCCCTCTGGGGCATTGAGAGGACTCCCTAGAGTGGTAAACAAATACCAGCTGCT